CTTGTCGTTTATCGAGCCAATCTAGTACATAACCTAAGGAAACACTAAATATCTCACTTGTAACATCAATCATTTCCAAAGTCTTTGTACCTTTTTGCTGCAATACAAATACAAGCACATTAACATCATAATTTCCAAGACCTAAAGGAGCTCGATGAGGATTCCAAATCCATGCCAGGGCGTTCGTAGCGTCAAAATCAGTCATTTCTGCTAGCTTTTCACACGCGTCTTCGAATTCTCTTTGCGTAAATACTGAATCTACTTAACCACGTTAGTCGTATCAAATAGTATTCAAATGTAAAGGAAAGTCTGTACCTTGAAGCGCATTATTAAGCGCGTGAAGGCCACAGCGGTAAAGCTTCTGACGTTCGTGGTAGATCTTGGTCATATATATAATAGAAATGATTATCATTTGTTTCTATAATAAGAAATACGTTTTGTAACGAGTGGGAAAGTGAAAACTTGGTTTTTTATTTTCAAGGATCTTAATGTTTCAATTCTCGACGTCAAACATTAGAATTTGAGATTCTCGTTTGTTCATATGATGGAGAATCAAGAGATGATTGAGAAAGTGGCAGTAGAAGATCAAAAATCAATTGAAAGGACCTTGGAATCGACAAATCCATTCAAACATGACAAACGAAAATGTACGGATGTGATGGTTTTAATCTTATTTCTTTTCTTTTGGATTGGAATGTTGATAATTGCTGGAAATGGCTATCGACATGGAAAACCTCAGCGACTTCTTTATGGAACAGATTGGATGGGACGAACATGTGGTGCTTCTAGTGACGAGACGAAGTATGTACCTGCTTATGACTTGACAAATTACAAATATTTGCTTTATCCTCGTCTTTTTGACGATATGAAAGCACTTGTTGCTGCTGGGTATGATTCTCAACAACTTGTACATCCTTCAACGTTTCGAAAACTCTTTGGTGTATGTGTTTCAGCTTGTCCAGTTCTTTCAAAGAAAACGCTATATGTTCATGCATACATTGACTATAGAATACAAGGGAATCCAATTAATGAAGAGGAAGCAAGTGCTGTGAAGAATGAGTATTTGATTGCTGGATCACCGTGGAAAGTTGAGATGAATACAACCAATGTTTTATACCGTTGTGTCGCACTCACGAAGGTTGAAGTGATTCAACATGTACGATGTATTGACAAGTGTACAGATCAGGAAGTCGAAAGATATCAAAATGGATCAGTAAATACATTAACATGTGGAATGGACAATGAAAAGAATCCATTCATCAATTGTGGAGCTCAATCATGCAATGACGTGATCACAGCTGTACGACCAAGTTGTAAAAGCTCGGAAACGATGCGAGAAGAGCGAGAGATTGGAACGACAATTCAAGATCCCGTGACTCAAATGATCAGTCGAAGATGGTTTCTCTTGGTTCGATGGCTTGGAGATTTGCAAAAAGCTGCTGTTCCTGTTTTGATCTGTGGTGGTCTAATTGCTCTCATCCTTGGTTTTTTCTGGCTTCTTTTACTACGTTATTGGGCTAGTGTCTTTGTATGGCTTATAATTGTATTGGTACTCGTCATTCAAATTCTCATTACTCTCTTTTGTGCGTACGAAGGTCATGTACTTCATAGTACAAGATTTGAATCTACATTGCATCGAATGGGAATGTCGTTCGAAGATCATCAAACGACTTATGTTTCATCTGCTGGAATTCTTGCTGCAAAAGACCAAACATATTATTGGGCACTTGCATGTTATATATTCACTGGAACAACTTTGTTGCTTCTTCTACTCCTTTTTTTCATGTGTAGTCGTATTCAACTCGCTATTGGAATTATACGTGAAGCATCGAAAGCATTACAATCAATGCCCATGTTAACTTTCTATCCATTCATTCCAACGTTTTTTGCTGTCATTCTTGTAGCCTATTGGATAGTCACAGCGACATTCATAGCTACATCAGATCATCTTGTCATTCCATCTACATTTCCAGTTAATGGAACTTTTCTTCATTATAACGATACGACTCAAGTTCAGATTCAAGAAAAGAAGAATCGAAAATATTTTATGCTTTATCATCTCTTTGGTCTTCTTTGGACTAATCAAGTGATTCAAGCTGCAGCTTATACCACCATTGCAGGTGCTTTTTGTGAATACTATTGGACACGAAACAAGCAAGAAATACGTCGTCGACCAGTCTTACGTTCTATATGGCGAACACTTCGCTATCACTTTGGTTCTATTGCATTTGGAAGTCTCATCTTAACTTGGGTCCAAATTCTACGCATCATTTGTGCATACATGGACGAAAATCTGAATCGTTTGAAACAAATTAACAAAGTATGGAAAGTCGTTCGAATGTGTCTACAAGTCCTTCTTTGGTGTTTTGAAAATTGTCTCAAGTTTCTGAATAAGAATACATTTATTCTGATTGCAATGACTGGACAAAGTTTTGGACCAGCTATGAAAGATTCCTTCTTGTTACTTCAGACTCATGCAGCACGTATAGCTACCGTCAGTATTCTTACACGCTTTCTTATGCTCATTGGTAAAGTTTTTGTCACGACGTTTTCCATGCTTTCGATGTTTCTTTTAATTCGATATCCACCACATGAAGTTCCAAGATTCTTAGTGGGAGATCTTGCAAATTTGACAAATCCACTTTTACCAATGTTACTTGTAGGTCTTCTCAGCTATACGACATCTTGTTTCTTTTTTGATGTCTATGGTACAGGCATTGAAAGTATTTTACTTTGTTTCTGTAAAGACTGTCATGTAAACAAGACATCACAAGACTTTTATATGACAAAAGATCTGGTAGCATTTCTTGACGGACCTGCACAGTCAAATGCTTTTACAAAGTACAAGAATCGTATTCAATGTACTGACGATCAAATGATACAAAAATTTCACTCGATTAAGATTGAAAACTGAACGAGCTTCCTACAGTTTCATACAATCCAGGAATAACAAATATTTGTCAAAGAGTATACAGTGTTAGTGTCAAAATTTCACTCTTCTTACAAAAAAATGACTTTTCCTTTCAAAGTTTACGTGATTATTGCAATAGAAATTTCACTTGAATCTTTTCACCTCCAACGTTTCATAGACATAAACACTCTAAAATGTCATATATATTATTCTATTAGATAGTAACCGTTAACAACTTATATTATACGATAACATTGCTTTCAAGAGCAAATACAGTATCACGTCTGTTTTCCTCTCACATTCAATCTTGGTTAGGTTATTCAAACTTACAGTGCTTGGACCTCTACTATCTGTGGTAGTTGCTACAAATGATACACTGTCCGTGCCGTTGCCATCAGGCGTCATTACAAAGGCAGGGAATGGTGTTATTGACGAAGATTGAATGTTGAATCCATTGCGGCTGTCAGATGAGTTGCATCCGCTGCAAATTTATGACGACATTGTCGATAAAGTATGGCAATTAATTGAGCTACAGCCTCAAAAAGTTTATAACGACATTGAGTTGGAGACTTTAGCCAAATGGTGCGACAGTCACATGGTGGGTGAACATTGTCAATCCCTGCATTAGATACTGAGTATTGCTTATATGTATTGTTTGATACAATTGCTAGATTGGAGAGGTTGCATTGCAGTAGTCAAAAGTTCAGATGAAATCGAATGAAATCTTTGTTTCGTTTTGAGTTTGTACGAGTGTCAGTACGTGGATTCGACTGAGCAATATTTTTCTACATGACGATCCTTTGTATGGCTTAATGCAGTCGTGAGATGATTAGCGATGGAGTTAAAGTTTGAAATGAAGCATATTTTTATTATCTTCTTATCTTTTTTTGTCAATCTTAACATCAATGCAACATACCTATCAGCAAACCCAGACAAGCCCGTCCTCCTATGTTTTCTTCATCTGGTTCCAACTTCTGTGATGGAGTATCCTTGTACGCTGCAAACAATTGGTTAATCTTGAGCACCTATCATTGATATATTGTGAAGCATCTCTATCGAGATTTGTAGTAGTCATATTCAACAAGACTAGTCACTGTATTCTCATAAATGCAAATTGTCTGTCAGTTAGTATAGATAGAGATAGTAGTGTTAAAGTCATCTCGAACCTTACTATTATCACATTCACCCTTTGAAAAACCCACTTTTAGATTAAATTCCGCAGATCCAGTTATAAAGTCAGTGCATCTTGGAAACTGATTCTAGTGTCCAGTTGTACATGATATATTTTCAGAACTTATCGTATAAGATAACGTTAGACACTGCTAATCACTTTTCCTCTCTTCCACTCAACGGTCAATCTTTGGACAATGACTACCTTCGTGTTCAAACTTACAGTGCTTGGACCTCTACTATCTGTGGAAGTTGCTACAAATGATACAGTGTCCGTACAAAGTGTGCCGTCGTCATCGGGCGTTATTACAAAGGCAGGGAATGGTGTCATTGATGAAGATCGAATGTTTAATCCATTGCTAGCCAACGCTATGGATACAAACAAGGTGAATACCGACTTGGAATTAGCTCGAATGGTGCTAAACTCACATGGAGTGGGTGATTTGTCACGTTTGATTGGTGCTCAAAAGCTAGTAACGAATGGTGAAGAAATGACCGAGAAGATGAATGTAGCTCGACGGAATGCAAATAGAATCGAAATTGGTTTGTATAAATATTGGAAACTCAATGACGAAAACTTAGACAAATTGGTGGCTCGATTTATTGAGAAGCATGACTTACCGCTTGACAATGTGGAGAAAGCGGCCAAGTTTCTGTTTCAAGAGAATGTGTATCAGGTTTTGATAACCTTTGCATCGCAAAGTAAAGTGGTAAATCCGGAAAAAACTCTGGCTCGCGCTTTGTATGATCGGTGTGGTCTTTTGAAGGTCGCTGAAATGATTCTGATAGCAAAGACTCAAAACTCAGCAATCAAAACTATGGAAACCTTGTTTGAACAGTTGGTTGATGACGAAATTCAGGTATTAAAAGCTGTGCAACTGCTTGAACTCGACAAGATTGTGGATTTTGAGCAAACAATGTTTAATCTACCTCAAATGTTCTTCTTGAAAAACTACGTACGGTATATTGCGTCGAAAACATCCCAAGACAGTGGCAAACTTCTCATTGATACCTTGGCTCATTTCTACGGAAGAATAAATACTGCTCGAATCGTTCAGAAAGCGATCAAAAGGGCTAAGGTAGACTCGATCTTGGCTCGTGTTTTCAGGAAATCGAATATTCTTACCAATTACGAACCGGTAGTGATCTGAAAGCTTTGCAATTTTCGATCTTTTATCATTGGTCGGATCACGAGAATTTTGAATCAATTACGAATTTGCCTCGTGAAGATGGACCGAGTGTTGTTAATTTTGAACCGATAGTTGTATTTGAACCGAATGAGGCTGCTTCTTGGGACCAACAATTGAAAGCGGCGTTCGAGGCTGATTTCTTACCGAAGCTGTTGAAAAAAGATCAAGAAAACACAGCAATTAAAACGGACGTGTCTTGGCTTGCTGACAGGTATGTTGCATTGATGTTAAGATTGACAAAAAAAGATAAGAAGATAATAATTTCAAACTTGAACTCCATCGCTAATCATCTCATGACTGTACTAACCATACAAAGGATCGTCATGTAGAAGAATATTGCTCAGTCGAATCCACGTACTGACACTCGTACAAATCTAAACGAAACAAAGATTTCATTCGATTAAGACTGAACTTTTGACTACTGCAATGCAACCTCTCCAATCTAACAATTGTATCAAATAATACATAGACGCAATACTCAGTATCTAATGCAGGGATTCACAATGTCAGCTGAAGATTCTCCTTTCATGATACATGTTTAAAGCACAGCAGTAGCTATAGTGATGAGTAGTCCTGATCTAATGTAAAGCACGTACCATTGTGTTCGTCCACATTATATATTGTATAGCAACTGCGCGATCATGTTCAATAGAATTACCAAACTGTATACATTATCTGTTAATTCGTATACATAGAAATAGTAGTGTTACACATTATCACAGTACTTGAGCTTTATGCCTCTGAAAAACCCATTTTTAGATTAAATTCCGCAGATCCAATGAAAGAGTCAGTGCATCTTGGAACCTGATTCTAGTTCTGTGTTGGCTACTACCAATGTCCGGTTGTACATGATATTTTTCTAGAACTTATTGTCGTAAACCACCTCACATGGCTACCACTCACTTCCGATTTCGATTCCTCTCGTTCACTCAACGGTCAATCTTTGAAAATGGTTACCTTCGTGTTTCAAGTTACAGTGTTTGGACCTCTACTATCTCTGGTGGCTGCTACAAATGATACAGTGTCTCTGATAGCTGCTACAAATGATACAGTGTCTCTGATGGCTGCTACAAATGATACAGTGTCCGTACAAAGTGTGCCGTCGTCCTCGAGCGTCAGTACAAATGCAAAGCATGGTGTCAGTGATGAAGATCGAATGCAATACTTTCATTTTACGAATAGTTTGGACGCCATTCTTGATCAAGTATGGCATGAGACTGAGTTACAGCCTCAAAAAGTTTATGACGACATTCTCAGCAACAGAGAGGGGGAGAATATCCTTGAAAGTACGGAATTGAAGACTTTAGCTGATAAGATGGAAAGTTACCATCTCTTGAATCTAGATTCCAACTTTCAAGTAGCTCGGATGATACAACAGTCTCATGGAGATGGTGAATTATCACGTTTAGTTGGTCAAAACCTACTACCAAAGCATGGAGACAAAGTGACTCAGATGACGAATGTGGCTTCTAGCAATGCAAAGAGATTTGAACGTGGTTTGTATTTTCATTGGCTCAAGAATGGTGACAACGTGGATAGAGTAGTGAATCGATTCATTGAATCGCATTACTTGCCACTAGACGATTTGGAAAAATCGGCTAAGTTCTTGTTTGACGAGAATGTGTATCAGGTTTTGATCAACTTTGGTGCACTGCAAATGAATGATGTATATCGTTTGGAATCGGAAAGGGAAGTGGTTCTCGCTTTAGTTAAGCGCTTTGGTCTTTCCAAAACGGCTCAGATGATTGAGATAGCAAAGACTCAAGACTCGGCAATCAGAAATATGGATGTCTTGTTTGTACTATTGGGATTTAGCGAAGTGCAGCTAGCAGGAGTTTTGCGACAGTTTCTACTCGACACGCCTGTGAACGCTAAAGTCACAATTTTCGAAATGCCACAAATGTTTTTCTTGGAAAATTACGTACACTTTATTGCGACGAGGACATTGCAAGACAGTGACAAACTTCTCATTAATGCCTTGGCTCGTTGTTACGGGAGATCGGATGCTGCTCGATACGTTCAGAAAGCGATCAATGATGCTGTGGGAAATTTGATCGTGGCTCGTTATCTCAATGTATTGAATATTGCTCCGAAAGAGAACAATCTCGCATCGTTGACAGCTTTGCGACTTTCGATCTTTCAACATTGGTCGGATCACGAAAGATTTGAATCAATGACGAATTTGCTTCATAAAGATCGACCGAGTGTTGTGAATATCAAACCGATAGTTGGATATGGTTTTAAACCGGATACGGCTGCTTTTTTAGACAAACAATTGAAAGAGGCGTTCGATGCTGCTTTACTATTGAAGCTGTTGAAATAAGATCAAGAAAGCACTGCAAACTAAACAGAAGAACGGACGTGTCTGGGCTTGCTCATAGGTATGTTGCATTGATGTTGAGATTGAAAAAGATAAGAAGATAATAAAAAATGCTCGTTTTAAACTTTAACTCCATCGCTAATTATCTCTTGCCATATCAAGGATCTTCATGCTCAGTTGCCAAGTCAAAGATTCGTTGTCCATATACTGACAATTACACTCGTACGAAACAAAGTTTCCATTCAATAAACTGAACGATCTTCTTACAATTTCAGACAATGCAAACTCTCCAATCCAGCAATTGCATCGGACAATACATGGACACGATATTCAGTATCGAGTGCAGAACTTGTCAATCTCAAAAGAATTTTCTCGTTATATGGAACATGTTTAAGTTCACTTATCATTTCGTCATCATTCGTCTTCTTGGTTATTAAGACATACAATCCATACGCTTTTGGATAATGTAAACGTGTTGTACAAGTAACTTGCTTTCTTTTCTTGTACTTTTGAGTTAAAAGAACGTGAAGCTCATTGGAATGAACGGACAGATTCACTTGATACTGTGGTAGCTTTTCCACTTCTCGTATAAGTTCGTGAACTTGAGAATTCGTTAATCCACTTTGTGATCGTACATTCTGTAGTCGTTCAACAATCGTTTTTTTCTTCGTCTTGTCCGCTATCAATGTTTGAAAATCAAGTAAAGTTGAGACTTTCCATTCGTCATTTAAAATCTTTTTCACTTTTGGTGATACATGTGGAAACTGAGCTAATGTATTGTTTTCATCTGGCCATCGACCTTGAACAACTGCTTGTTCAAGTCGAATACCTGTGCGTACAAACGTTGGCAATTGGATGTACGCACATAAATGAATGACAGCACGCAGTAAACGTGGAAGAAAGTCGAGGATTATACGAAGATCATTCCGAAAATCACTTGAAGGGAAACGCATACGCATCAAATACATTTGTAGTATCACCATTGCCTTCACTTGGCTTCCATGTGTCTCAACCAGTCGTTTTGGTTGCTTCTTACCACGTGCATACAAATACTTCAATGGCGAATATTTCACTTTCCCGCACAACTCCAATAGTAAATTACTTAAAATTTCATGATGACGAACTGGAACTTGATCAAATTCAACACAAGACTCACAGACAATACAAAGTACTTGCAATGTATTCGTCTCGAACTCTGTCATTGCATTGGTACATTGTGTTTTCAAAGCTGTCAATAAATTTGAAATTGTACGCACATCAATGTACAATGAAGCAGCTACTTTTCCAGCAAACGTTGGCTCAAACCGTGTAGCATTTTGTGTTAGAATCAAACATTGATACGATACAAGTCGGTCAAGTATCGTCGTAATCAATTTATCAAAAAACAATTCAATCTTTTGACGTTTATGATCATCTGTATCCTGCTCTTTGAATTGTACAAGACCATAATATCTTGGATTTGTCAGAACACGTTGAAAAAGATAAGTCCACGTGAGATACTCCATCACCTCCTTTCTCGAATGAATTGCTCCTGCGACAATCTCAGCATTCACATCATTAACAACATTCTTTTCATTAAGACACGATTCCATTGCAATGGGTTCGTACAAAAAGCGTTGTGTTCGATTTTTCTTTCCTTCTTCTACCAAGACACAAACTATACCTTTTTCATCAACATTAGGTCGTCCAGCACGTCCAATCATTTGCAATATATCACTTAAAGGATAGGAACAATATCGTCCATTTTCAAACGATTCAATGCCTTTTAAAACTACTAAAGAAGCAGAAAGTGGCATTCCCCATGCGAAATTTGACGTTGAAATCACAATTTGAATTCCACCTTCTCGATACAATTTCTCAACTATTTGACGTTCTCGTTGTAATAATCCAACATGGTACAAACCAATGCCAAATGCAAGTGTATGCTTTAATGTTTCATCGATAATTTGATTGGAAAGACAGATTGAATGCATCACATCTTCATCTAGAGATAAAAAGCCTTTCTTTTCAGTATTTGTATCATCACATGCCATTGAAAATTGAATTAAATCTAATGCTGTGACTTTTGTCTGAGCTTTCGATGAGACAAAGATCAAAACAGGTTTCTCAACTGCATGAGTTTGAATCAACATGAATGTTGGTTTATTCATAGCAGCCATACGTGCGACATAATGACGTTCGGGAAAGCCTTGGACGTGCATTTCCAACGGTATTGGACGTACAGATGGATGAAAATTGTACGCAAAGTTGACATTTGACTCACTAGTTGGAGTATTCAACCATCGACCGACATCGTTAGCGTTTGCAAGGGATGAAGAGAGTGCAATGATTCGAAAAGGATGATCAGTTTGAAAACGTCGGATTCGGCTGAGAATTAACTCAAACACAGGACCATAAGGTGGTTCATTTAGTAAATGCACTTCATCGACAATCACTAGCGCGATTTGAGACATCAATTTCTGTGCTACAAATGGATTACGTGTCATTTGATCCCATTTCTCACATGTCGAGACAACTAAATCTGCTTGATTCAATAGAAACTCCATGTTCACAAGTGTTTCGTTCGATACTTCGACTATTTTTTTTCGTAATTCTGAATGACATGTAAACTTTGTTGTCCAATCCATTACTTTTTCACGTACAAGTGCTTGCATGGGTGCAAGGTACACAATAAGCGAGCGACATGATGTCTTCATACAGTCCATTGTGTCTCTTTGGATTGAATTCCAAACACGAAACATAGCTATTTCAGCACATAAAGTCTTGCCACTACCCGTTGGAGCACAAAGTAATAGATTCTCCTGAGTATGGTAGAATTTGTAAAACATTTGAGTTTGAATTCGATTCAAATGTGAACATGTTGTTTGATAAAGTGATTGATATACATGATTCTCAAGCGATTCAAGAGGTTGAGGATGAAGTTGTAACAAAGATGTCGACATTTGATTCTCGCTTTGAGTTTCTTGGACTGGAGTATACGATACGTAATAGAATGATTCAATCCCAACAAAACGATCTGAAAAGATACGAATCACATATTGCACTTCTTGTTGTGTTTGTGATAGAAAAACAGGAAGAAAACATTCCAATTCAAGCGATTGAGCACGTGCTTTCCATGTTAAGAAACGAGCTTGATGAAGAATATAATACTCAGAATGATAAATATATCCATTCAATCCATCTTCAATCCAAATCCACGATGCTAATGTCTTACCTTGAAAAACTCCTTCTTTCCATTCTAGAAATAATGGAGTGAGTTCAAATGTGACTTTCAACATTGTTTTTCCAACAGGTTGTGTTTGAACATTTGTGATATCAAGAAATGGAAGACTTTGAATCCATTTCAAGGCTTTAGAACTTAAATTACATGCTTGAGGATCTATCATTGCATCGTAAAGTGATTGATGTTCAAGTTCATGAATTATCGCAAACGGAACATTTGAAAATTGAAGCAAAGGTGTTTGATCAAACCATAGTTTTTGATCAATACATTTCGCAAGTTGGAGAAACATTGCAGCGTAATTTCCACGAGATTTCTTCAGACAAATCTCAAACAATGCACGAGCGACACGAGCTCCGTTTTGTGCAACGTAATTGGAGTCCGAAATGAGTGTGAACGATGAGATGCGACCACGACTTAAGAGACTCTGTAATAGAATATTTGTCTTCCCAGGAGAAGTGTCAAGTCCACCCCCTACTATTGCATACCGACAATACCGGTGTTGCAACTGTTCTAATTCGGTCATTTCATCTTCTCGTGACTTAAGTTGCTCAAACTCATGACTCGAACATAAAAATCTAAACACTGTGTCCCAATTCAAAGTGTCCTCTTCTTCACTTGAAGCTTCAAATAATTCATGAAAGGTTTCGATTGAAGTGTGTTGAATGTAATAATGACTTGCAACACGACCTACTGACGTGACGGTAAACGTCACTTGTGGTTCACCATTGACTGCTTTTTGTCCTTTTTCACGTGAGATTTTAATCATTCGACATGCTGCAAGTTTCTCTGCCGCAGCTAAAATTAATTGGCGACGTCGAGCCACAAGCATTGGATCGTGTTGCACATCATCCCATTTCATACCGTACGCCAATGGATTCTTACGCATACGCACGTAGAGATATGTATAACTAAGCCATGTACAAGCTTCATCGAGATTTGTGATTGTATTTGAAACAATTTCAGCATTTAAATGGTCAGGAAGAGCTTGAATTAATGCTGATTCCATGGGTAGTCCCGTTGTTAATAAACGTAAATAATGAGCCAAATTGTCTTGAGTTGTAAGTAAGACTGCGTCCCCTCTTGTATCATATTGTGGACGACCAGCACGACCAAAGATCTGCATCACATCAAGGATACTTAATTGCGTTATCCCTCCTTTTGCAGCATTATAAACTTGTGTCCCTTTAATCAGGACAGAGTGGGCCGGTAAGTTAACCCCCCATGCTAAAGTTGCCGTACAACATAAAACACGAATGTACCCCCGTTCAAATAACTCTTCCGTCAAGTTACGATCACTACGTAACATTCCAGCATGATGTATCCCAAGACCATATCCCAAAAGTTCTTTCACTTCTTGATTGCGACTTTTAAGCACACGTTCATGTAAATTTCGATCCAATTGTAACTCAATTGGTGGTAAAAAAGCTTCTAATGTCTTCATCTCTTCTTCATGTCCACGTGCTAACTCAATTAACGTACGCATTGTACGACCAGTTTCTTTTCGAGAATGAACAAAAACCATCACTTGTTCTTTTGCTTGGACTTGCTTCAGACAATGAGCTAACGTTAATTTATTCATCATCAACTCAATTTGACGTTGTCGACTCATAGTATTCGTCCCCTTTTTATCTTTCATCATCTCATCTTCATTTTCAAACGATGTTGTAAGAGCTGTAGTATTTAACGTCACAGCATCTTTTAAATTTCCATTTGTACTCACCCCAATAAATGTTTGATCTAAAGGTACTGGACGATATGTGGCGTCGAAATAGAATAAACCACCTTGACCACCGTTTGTCGCTGCATTTTGCATTCGAACATCACCAGATGGAACCGAGACACGAAGAAATGTTGCAACATCAACATAATTTGGTAATGTCGCTGATAGCCCCACAATTCGAATCATACATTGTGTACTCTCTACACGACGTAATGTACGTGCGACAATTGTTTCAATGACAGGACCACGTTCATCAGCAAGTAAATGAACTTCATCAATAATTAAAACCTTCACTTGACTTAAAAGTGATTGTTGAGTCCCTGATTTTCGTGTAATGACATCCCATTTTTCCGGTGTCGTTACAATCACATGAGTTTCGTCAATTTCTCGTTTTGTTAATTGCATATCACCAGTAAGTTCACGCACTTGTAGCTTTAACTCTCGAAGTCGTTCGCTAAACTTGGTCACGACTTCTTGTGCCAAAGCTTTCATTGGTGCAACGTAAATGATTTTAATCTTAGCAAGTCGTTGAGTGAATGAGACACTACGTTCATCTTTTGAACGAATATATTGCGTCTTCACTTCTTGTAAAATCGTAAGCATTGCGACATTTGTCTTCCCTGCACCTGTTGGAGCACAAACGAGTAGATTTTGATTCGAATGATATGCAGCATGAAAAAGCTTTGATTGCAATCGATTGAGTGTTGAAATGCCATGAAATGCTGTTTGAGCAAAGTCGTCAAGACTTGCAATCTCCACAAGCGGATCTTCCTTCTCGAGTGGTTTTTTCGCATGTGCAGGGATAAAAACATGTTCATAACCTTTAAAATACGTTCGTTTTGTACTTGATGGGAGTGTTAAGACTCCTGCTGACATTAATTGACCAGCTGCACCAGTGGAATCATAACCTCCTTGAAGCGTTCCAAACTCTCGCTGAATAAGAGACGACGACTCCAGTCTTCGTTCATGATCGACAGCTTCTCGTTGTAATCTCACGACTTCAAGATCATAACCTGCTGCTTCCAACCAATTTTCCTCGTTTGCCTCCTTACGAATCTCTCGAGACGCTTGTCGCTGTGTTTTTTTCTCTTGTTGTCGCAGCATCTTTTGTAATTCGTCAAGCTTTTGTTTTGATAGCAATTCTTTTTGATTTTGTACTGCAAACGCAATCAATTCCATGCCTTCAACACCTAAAAGATTAAAGAGATGAGCTTGCAGAGTCTCAAGATCACGATTTTCTTGTATACTTTGAAGAATCGATTGAGCTAATTCGAAAGAAGTGAAAACCTCGTTTGAACGATTCGTTTCGAGATGAGTGTGACATAGTGTCAATAAAACTTCAATCACGTTGTTTATTTTGCTTCCATCCTGTCGTTTTAATGTCTTGAGACTTTCCTTTTGACTCTTGTACTTGATTGTTTGACCTTGTGTGGTATCATTCACTTGGAGTATCTTTAAAATGTCGCGATGGGATATCTCGGAAGATACAAATGGATCTTGAAATGTACGATGTCGAGTGACTGTACGATTGGATGGAGAGAATGATGAGGATTGTAGAAGTTGAGAATCTTTTTTACTGTCATTAGAGATGCAAGTGGATGGTACAGAAGCGAGAAACTCAGCGCGTAGAGCCGACAAGAACGTTGTCATGGCTGGTTCTGATGAAGATGGAGAACGAAAAGTCATGGAAATTTATTTTCAGCGTGGTATTTAATATCAAAGGTAACTTTTACTATATTATGCATCATCTACTATATATTACTTTGCTTATGCTATTTTTGTTATATGTTATATTGCAGCTACAACACCCTATTTCAGTATATTACTTTACCATAATATATTACATCAAAAAAAAATTCATAAAGTCTGCGCAATGTAATATATTAGTCAGTATGCGCTCTTAACGTGTTTCAGTATCTCACAAATACAATCACGACTCTAATAACTAGAGACGGTAGTTTAGATAGTAACTGGACCACAACGAACTATCCCATGTCTTGAAAAGTCCGAAACTCGTCAACAATGTGGTTGTCCAAGTAAATTCCAACATCTTCACGAGAATACTTTTCTTTCAAGTTCTTGAGATAGAAAGCATGTTGTTGGTATGACCACCAGTAAGAGTCATATTATACACTGCGTGAAAGCTTTCATAACGTGATGAAGTCTCTTTCCTTCATTCGACGTTTCCTCTTTTCTTTGCCTCTTGTGCAAGTATCTTTTCCAACATTTGAAAGGCTTGAGCTGCAGACGGTCTTTCCGTCGGATCAATTGCAGTACATGCCATTCCAAGTTGTACCATTCCTTTTTGAGCACCTAATGAAAACTCAACCCGTAACTTTCCCATTGCAACTAATTGAAGAATCGCTGTATCAGGCATTTTACGTCCAAGTGAACTCTTTTCTTTAGCATGAGCATAAGGATTTTGTTGAGAGTCTAATTCAGATAAAACAACACCAAATGAAAAGATATCTGCTTTATCATCATATCGTTCTCCCATCATCACTTCTGGTGCAATCCATAACGATGTCCCAACTCCTGCTGTCATTGTCACGTCAATTCGTTCTCGTGATGCACCAAAGTCAGCCAACTTCGCATTATGATTTTCATCAAGTAAGATATTCTTTGATTTTAAGTCACGATGGATCACACAAGGAGTCAATGCATGCAAGTAAGCAAGTGCATGAGCAACATGCGTGGCAATTTTAATCTTTGTATAATCAAAACCCACAGGATTAGCATTGTCTGCACGCTCACTTAACCATGCACGTAAGTCACCTCCTGCCATAAATTCAGTCACTGCACATAAATCCATCAAATTATTCCATGAAACGCCAATATACTCAACAACACGTGGATGATCCATGATAGTCATCATCTTGACTTCAGTTAGAAATTCAGTCACATGACGTGTACTCTTTCGTGTTTCGGGAAATAACATTTTCACTGCCACAGCTCTTCCTTCATAAGTACCTCGATAGACTTCACCATATCCACCTCGACCTATTAAATCTTCAACAATTACTTTATCACGTGAGATACGACTCGATAATACAGCGTCATCTTCACAAACACTATCAGCTGTCACAGGTCCACGTAGTGTATGTGCATGTAGAGGCTCAGATTTAGCTCGAGTACTTTGTTCTGGTTCACTTGGAGTCCACTGTCTACTAAGCTCAAAGTCCTGCATCCAATTACTTCTGATAGATTCTCCATGAACATGATCTCGATCATTCATTACTTTGTCACTGTATGGTCCATCCCATTTATGATCAGGTTGACGATGATCAGAAGGAATCGGATCACTGTAATTTTGACCATCGCTAAGATCTTCTCGCTGTAATCGACTGCTATGTCTTGATGCTGTATGAAGCTCGTTCGTATGTAAACGTCCGATTGAATCGCTACCAAATCTATCGTTTGGTAGTCTACGCAATCCATTACCTCGTGCAGTGCGCTCATCTTTCCAATGTACTGGCGTTGGTTCACACTTTCGCTCATTTCGAAGGGCATGTCCAGAATGTGAGCTCTTTCGGTCAAACTTTGGTGAAAGATCTGGTGCATATCGTTCATCACTCTCATGCTTCCCACTGACTACTAATGAAATGTCGGGAGGTTGTGCTCGAGAATTCCCAGCACTCTTTTCTCGCTTTTGTTTCGAATGATGCATTCTCCAATAAATCAGCAATATCGGTACAATCACAACTCCCAAACACGTGACAACAATTCCAAAGAGTGCACCAGTGCTCATACTTGATTCATGAGATAACATCATTGTTGGTGTTGTCAAGTTCGAACCACTATCACTAGTATTTTCAACAACAATTCCTGTATGGTCTGATGTATAGAACTTGTTATAACCCTTATAACAAGTATGGTCTTGAATAATCGAAGTATTGAGATCAAACACTTGTGTCTTCTTAGCACATGCTGAATCACTATAAACAGTCATATATGCTGATCCATCTCTAAAAAGCGTCGCAATTTCACTACGTTGACCTACATACGAAGCAAGTTGACACGTTCCAGCGGCTAGAAACACATTAGAACGTACATATGATTCACATCCTTCTTCTTGAAATCCATCAATCATAAGGTACTTGGCTCCACTAAATAATTGTGATGTGTATTTAAATCGGTCTGTCGTACACTGTTGAGCGTAATAATACGACGAGTTATTGATCTCAATCGCGTTACATGTACCGCTTGGTGTACATGTTGTATTCATGACTTCAAGTGTCACGACTAAGGGAATGGACTCACAATTCGCGTCCGAGTATATTTCAACCGTGGAATAGTCGGCAAAGATTGTCATGAACCAGTTTGATGCGTTAAAGATGGTCAAGACCACGAGCCACGACACACGTCGCATGAAGAACTTGAGTCTTTATTCGTATCTCGTTTGTATTAAAGAAAAGCTTCTCGAGAACGAGACTGACGCCGTCAGTTTGGTCTTCCAAGGACTGTCAAGGTAGTGCGGGTCTTAATTGCTCATAGTCCTCCCTTCTATTACACCGTCTGAGCGATTGAGCCTTTCCACCTTGGAGCGAGTCAGATTCCAGTGTCCCATCTGGTCAAACTTGTGCTCTTATGATTTGCTTCTCATCCATGTACAGTAGTCTTACAATAGTATTGAATCCAAAGTTGTCGAGTGTATAGAGAGCGAGAATTCGCATAAGATCTAAAGAGTAGCAACTTAATCACATGGACATGTTTTTCATTCTCGTTCTATTGAAATCAAGAGTTCGAGAACCTTAAGACTTGACAATAAAACGATGATACGAGGCACGACGGATATATATCTACCGTCGACACAGGGTGAGTCGGGACTGTCGTGCGAAGATCGATCTAGCAACTGGTAGAGTTGCGAACAACTGGTAGAGCAACTGCTGAGAAGAAACTAATTCAATCCGTATCAGCAAACACTTGCACTGTATAGCTTGTGGCTATCATACATAAGACATATTTGAACTGCATATATTGTTACACATGATACATGGCGTTGGAAGATACCAGTTCATGCACCTGCTTTAAATATCAGAAGGGACTTTCTGGTCCATCGAAACGTCGCTCAAGGGCTCTAAGGCGTATGGAAGAAATGTGGGACACGATCGAGTGGCTCTCTTAAATACTCATACGCAACCATCTGATTGATTACCTAAAACATCATGGACATTATGGTGTTTAAAGGAGTGAGCTCCATTCCATCCAATCTTCATCGTTCATATCCACACACCAGTAGGAACATGAAAATTGTGTGGCTGAGAAAAGATCCAATGTAAAGGACATTGTCCCCCGCCAAATTGTACTTCGCCAATTTGCAGACGATAGGACGATCAATAAAAATTCCAAGTCTTTGTTAAGTGGAAGGGATTCAGTATTATTATCTTGCTGATGCTGCAGTATATTCACCAATCTAGCACTTCAAGACGCTTTTGAGCTATCGAAGAAAATCATTTTCATCACGCTGAACTTTATCTTCGCGGCATGAACTCAATGATTTGAGAGATTGATAGAATTGAATCAAAGACATCAAAAGTAGTAGCAAGATTTGAAAAGAAGCAAATTGTTACACCTCGTCTTTCTTGAGGAAGCGTCAGAGGAGTGCCATTTTTAAGTGAATGGCTGTTGAAGTTTTGCATGACGACGTACCGATTTACCTGAACCAAGCTGAAGGCTTTGCGCTATTGTTTGGGTCCACAAAGAGCCAGAGGTGATAAGGACAATAATTGGCGATGTCAAGCATTGATATGCGCCGATTCGTAGTCACGAATTGTTGTTATGAATCTTACGTCGTGTGATTCTCTTTGTAATCTCACGATGTAGCCATTATCGTACCTCTTTTGAATTCAAAAGTAACTTCGAAATGTAGTAGGTGAAAACAAAGCGGAAGGTTAAACTTATTGCTTGTGAAGATCGCAGTGATGGGATGACTTGAATAAGCATCGTGCTTCGAGGTACAAGATATGAAGAAAAACATTACTGTCTCTGTTTCCATCCAATCCTATCGAATAGCTTGCTCGTCCACTTTCTTCATAAAAGATGCTTATGTCCGCCTAGCACAAGCAAACGATCTTCGTTGGGATGGCTATGTTGGTTTCGTGTTGTTACTGTCACTGGCTAGCTGATGAGCTGTACGTAAAAGGTTTAGTGGGGACCGAAACTACTCAAAGTCGCAGGGTCACGTGGCTGCCGAATGTCTGAGTTGTAGTGCTACAATGGTCATATCGACGATCACACTTACCTTGATGATTTCTTTCGAGCGTAATAGTTTTTTACCATGAGGTAGATGAGATATCCGCAGACCTCATCAAGATATTCTGATACTTTCCATTCCGATATTTGACCTCGATACGTTTAGTATTACGAGATCAAATAATGGTTGGTTGCTATAGGTCGCTCATGAGAATAGGACAAACTCCGTCGTTGCGTGACTGGATTTCTGGACCTGTCCAAGGCACGGATGTCGCCTTCTCAATTCATATGAATTTCACCACAAAACTGACTCTCTTTATTTGAGGAACGTCAATTTTAAAAGTCCATGCCTTGTATTGACTAAGCTAAAAGCAGCAATCGTTTAAGGCGGAGATTCTATCAGCATGTTCAAGTAGATTGTGATAGAGAATCACAGTGACCAACCTGTCTTTCCGTCCCTGGGAGTAACTGCAATTGGCCATATCATTCATGAGGTGATAAGTCGATGAAAAAGTCGTGACTCATTGACGATCTGCAATTTGATAAAGCAGACAGGCTTGACGATGAAGCTTACGCGTTGCATCCTTTATAGACACACTGATAGGAATAACATGTCCGTACATTGTGACGCCATCGAAAGGTCTGAGAAACTGATCAAAATATATTCGTAACTTCTCAATGAGCAAGGAACGAGTTTTAAAAATACACTAGATAGTGAAGCGAGCTACAGCTCATATGTCGCAATAAAGCTGACATGTCTGCTAAGGTCTTGATCACTACATCCGCCAATTTTTAAAAATCAAATCAGTGAACTAACACGTTCACTATATGCCAAATCATTTCGTTTATCACGACTAATGTAGCAATGTGATAAGTTTTCGGCAAGCACCTACATTGTCATCTGTGTCAAATAGAGGAATAGGCGCATATGAACACATTGATAAATTCTAGAATAACATATGCACGATTGCTGTGCATGTGTGGATTTCTCAGATCTGAATGCAATGGCCGAGTGTCTATGACTTTTCGCTGTTCTATTGCTACAGAAATCTCGAGCAACGTTCAATCGATGATTATCGCGAACGTTTAGGCCCTTACGTGCTTAGTCGAGCTGACTGGCTCTTTAGGATGCACATGTGTTACTTCGTTGAATGTTCGATACTTTGAAATCGAACAAAGTCTGATTTTATGAAGATTTCGCGTACTTCACGTAATTGTTTTATGAGTGACCTGATAAAGAAATGTACATCCCGAAGCAATTGAGGCCACACATTTATGATATCCTAGATTTGAGCTACTATGCAGTTGTCGGCGTGCGAAGCTTCTATCCTACTAACGTATCACCATGATGAGAAAACATTTACTTACGATCGTATTTTTCGAATGAGCAATCGCTCAAAGTGAAGCCTGTAAGAGCTCCAAGTGCATATAAGAGCAGCAATCTGCAATTCTAATCAATGTTTTGTTTATATTTCCTTTCTCAGATTCTGCAAGATTTATAATTCCACCTCAAGCTGCTTATTGCGTGACTGAGTTATATACGCCAAATCCGTCATGTAAGACCCTTATGCCACATCGCTAACAGGGAGCCGGAGTTTAGCATATTGAAACGCTGCACAAACCTCTTTCCATCAGCAAACCGAAGGTCAACTCCGATACCAGTCCTTGTAGTAACATCAAACAATCATTGAGTTCGAACCAAACATCTTTTCGTATGCAATCATAATTCATCACGAGCACATCACGCAATTAGTATGGTCTCCCTACTACAGATGGAAATACTTTCGCTGTCAGATCCACAGAAAAATCATAAGTTATCCCTGTCCAATTATATTATCGGTGGAATAGTGGCTACTCATCTCATTGCACAGATAAGTATACCTGCCGTGCACAATACGGCTTCGTTCCATCCCTATATTCATTGCTCTGATCCTTATCGTGAATGATAAACATATCTAGAGACCGAATTGTAGTGATCGTAACAATGGCATTTAAAAAAGGAGCCTACGCGCATTCGTGCATATATATACTTTTAAAATCACGAGGGCGCTTTCTAAGTAAACAAAGCTTTGTTATCGTTAAAGATCACACATTCTCGAGGCGGTCAATTTGAACGCCAATGCAGATAGGACAGAATGTAGTGTCGCCAATTTTCGTGCAAGTTGCGAGAACAGTGTGTAGCAATGTCTCCTTCCCTGCAAACATATCACTTCGCACTGTTCCTGCAAAGCGGTTGCCGTGCACCTTGCATAGAGGAAGCATTTTTCAAACAACTCTCGTTGACTAATGCGCAAATGTAATGTCACCCACGAGCGGAATCGAGAGCATTGAGTCTCCAGGTTGCTGCAGTTGCATCAGTATACAAAATTAATTTTATTCCGACTCATACAAAATCTATGCGTCAACTTCATCTCATGGTTAAACTCTTTCTATCGCTTGACGTTTCACTTATAGCACACGCCTCTTCTGAACGGAGTTCGATCATCTTCATAAAAGGCACTTGTGGGTATTCACAATTACATACAATTGTAGCAAAATCGAAAGACGTGGGTACACAGTGGTGCACTAAGATGCAATAAACCGGTGACCCCAATGTGATGAGGTCACCCGTTTAAAACATTGTTCACGTGTCTACGAGCACTGCGCCTGAAGTCGAGCTCCACCCTTTGCACTTTTCCGTGCCTGTTTTTCAGACTTCCGCACACTGAAAAAGATCTTTGTGGTCGTCGCACTAAAAAAATGGTAAGGATGGAGGGTAGTTTCCCGAAAAGAAGATTGCAGTGACTCGCCGAATCTTGACCAGTCAACTCCGCCCTCACTTGACTACACTCGGCCAGGATGTTTACAGAGGCTCTATGCTCAGCCTCCCCCGTGTGCGAGCTCCGCAACATTATTTGATGGCTTGAAGTGTTGTGACACCCTACCATAGAGCTCATATGATGACTTAATCGTCGCCAACGAGCTTACCCTGGCTCAAGGATTCCAGCGTGCTATACCGTAAGTGTAAGAGTCACGCCAACTCATTATACCACCATAAGCTAGCTGGGTTGATCGCCGAACTAGGGCGTAGCCCATCCGTAGCCCTTCTGTTCACACCAAGTACTGAATGCGCACCAGAATGTATTTTCGCGAGCGGTTTTCTTTCCCAGAGATGATTGAATATTTAGAAGTGCCGCC